AGTTCTGTGCTCCACAGATGTAGTTCTCCAGGCCATCCATGTGGCTGGGATATTTAAGATTTGCAGTTGAATACATTATCACTTGAAAAACTACTGATCATTGAAAAACTTCTTAAATAGTTCATTCATTGTATAATTACTGATTGAAACTTTTTGAAATCTTCCCTAGGTTTTTTTTTTTTATTGCAAAAGTTTTACAATTACATTTTCACCCCATTTTCCCCCCACCCCACCCCACACTCCCCACCCTAACCCCCCCAGACCCCCCCTCCCCCTCCCCCTGACTTCCACAGAGTATAATCCCATCCAAATCCCCTTTTTATAAAACTTGAACCCCCCAAACCCCCTTATAATTTTTTATCTTCACAAAATTCATACATTTTTATTTTTATATAATACTTTCAATGAAAAGCTATTTGATACTTCCTAATTTGATATTTGTTCTGCACATAATCTATCCATTTTTTCCATTCCCATTCATAAGTCTCTTGTGAGCGATCTTTTAAATATGCTGAAATCTTCGCCATCTCCGCAAAACTGGCCATCTTCAAAGTCCATTCTTCAATAGTGGGTAAAGCTTCATTTTTCCAATATTTACTTATCAGTAATCTCGCTGCTGTTATCATATACAATATCAACTTAGTTTCATCCTGAAATCTTCCCTAGGTTTTTTATTTGTTTTGTTTGTTCATTTGGGTATGTGTACATTTCTTATGCAAGAAAAGAATTGTTTACCTGGGATTTACTATCAACCCTGGAAAGCACAGAATCACAGGGTCAAAGCATTTAATTCTATTATAAATCTCAAAAAGCAAAATTATAATATTTCATAATGGCAACCCAAACAATTAAGTATAAAGCTAGCATAACTCCCATAGGCATTTACATGTAAGATTAAATATCAATATGCAACAAAAGCCTTTTCCACTGAGCCAGAGAAATAAAAGAAAGTAACAATTTGGCTTTAGTACTTACTGGCAAAGCTATCTTAGAGGACAATTCTGTGTGACTCACAAAAGTAATAAAACTACAAAATTATAAAACCAAAATCAAAAACCTAGCTGCTCAGTCATTCTCCTAGGTCAGGGGTATGCAACCTTAAACACTCAAAGAGCCATTTGGACCCATTTCCCACAGAAAAGAAAACACCGGGAGCCACAAAACCCTTTCCATGCCTGACTATTTCTTGAGCGGCCACAAAAGTAGCATATGTCGTTGAATTAAACATTCTATTTTCTTCAGAAACTTTTCTTTCCTTGGATTTATCCATGGTTGGCTTACCAGGAGTTGAAAAGCTCAATAAATCGTGTGCTGGGGGGTGACGCACACTTGCGGTTGTGACACATATTTTGAATGACAGGGAGCCGCAGCAGAGGGGTGAAAGCACCACATGCGGCTCCAGAGCCGCAAGTTGCTGACCCCTGTACTAGGATGCTCAACAACTATCCACAGACTGCTATCATTCTACTACAGAACCAGGATAAAGAGTCAGATCTTGATGTCCAGTCTGTTAGGATAGGCAGATTCAGTTTTTAATAATATGTGAATGTCAGGTGTGCTTCCTTCAAAGTCCAAGAAAGAATGACCCAGACTCTGTTATTTTAGAAGCAGGTACTTTTACTGGAAAATGAAGTGATCGCAACCAAAGAAAAGCAGGATCTAAGCCAAAAAGTGCGAAAGTTACAGATAGAAAGCATTCCCTCCCACTGTCCATCGTAAATCATCCAATCCAAGGTTGTCCCAAAGGTCAGGTGGGAGACACGTCTGGCAGCGTCATCAATCAGGAATGCCACGACCATTGCTCCGATAGCAGCTTCAAAGATGCAGCCCAGTAGCTTAAGAATCACTTTCGTTTCTGTCTCTGTCTCTCCAGTACACTTCCCCTCCCCTCAACCTAGCTTCCCTCCCCCCGTTACCATGGCAACCAAAGCAGAAAAGGCGGAGGCTGACAGTGCTACTCTATCCTAGGACCAGTTTCATTGGTGAACATTAAAGATAAACATGAACATTACATATACTTTTGTTACATCTAAATTTAGTTAAAAGATTTGCAAGTCTTCAGGTCCTGTAAATCCAGCATCCTTTAATGTTGCTTTACTGATAAGAAGAGGCAGAGGAACTAGAGATCAAATCACCTGTTATGGTTCGCCAGCAGCCTGCGGAGCTGGCAGCGGAGTCAGACAGTGAGGAGGCTGGAGAGGAACATGGGCCAGTCCTGGAGTCTGGAGAAGGACTGGATGAGGGCTCTGCATCGGAGGCAGAGATGGGGCCAGGGCCATCTGGGAGTGATGCACGGACTCTGTTGCCTCGAGAGTCAGACAGTAGAGAGGCAGAGGAACAGGAGGAGCCTGTTCCTAGTGCACGCATGCACAAAGCTGCCAGAAGGCACGAACAGTTAAAACAAAAGGGATGACTTGTGAGTAAGGCCTGGAGATGATTGGCCCCTCCCATAAGGCTTAAAAGAGGAGCAAAGGCATGTGGGCACTTTGCAGGAAAGCAGCATTGTTAATTCTGTTCCCAGTCGGCATCTCTGTTTTATTCTGGAATCCATGTGGCTTTGCCAAGTAGGTTTTCAGCAGAGTGTCAAGGGAAATAAAGGTTGGTGATTATCCCAAAGGACTTCTCCCGAAGGACATTTTGCAGCTAATTGGGACTCAGCTGTGAATGAACATAATTCACAGCTGTTGCAATAAAAAAGATTTTTGGGACTACTCATGTGTTTTAATGACTCAGGAAGTCTAGGTCACAACATCGCCAACATACACTCGATTATGAAGAAAGCTAGGGAGTTCCAGAAAAACATCTACATCTGCTTCATTGACTATGCTGAAGCCTTTGTGTGGATCACAACAAATTGTGGCAATTTCTTAAAGAGATGGGAGTACCAGACCATCTTATTTGTCTCTTGGAAAACCTATATGTGGGTCAAGAAGCAACAGTGAGAACTGGACATGAAATCACTGATTGGTTCAAAATTAGGAAAGGAGTCCGGCAAGATTGTATATGTCGCCCTGCCTGTTTAACTTATATGCAGAACACATCATGAGAAAGGTGGGGCTAGATGAATCAAAAGTTGGAATTAAGATTGCTGGGAGAAATATCAACAACTTCAGATATGCAGATGATTCCACTCTAATGGCAGAAAGTGAAGAGGAACTAAAGAGCCTCTTGATGTGGGTGAAGAAGGAGAGTGCAAAAGTTGGCTTGAAACTCAACATTAAGAAAAGTAAGATCATGGCATCCGGCCCTCTCAATTCTTGGCAAATAGATGGGGAAGAAATGGAGGTAGTGACAGATTTTATTTTCCTGGGCTCCAAGATCACCTCAGATGGGAACTGCAGCCAAGAAATTAAAAGACGCTTGCTCCTGGGGAGGAAAGCTATGGCAAATCTAGACAGCATACTAAAAAGCAGAGACATCACCCTGCCAACAAAAGTGCATATAGTCAAGGCTATGGTTTTTCCAGTTGCAATGTATGGCTGTGAAAATTGGACCATAAGAAAGGCTGAGTGCCAAAGAATTGAGGCCTTTGAACTATGGTGCTGGACAAGACTCCAAGTCCCTTGGACTGCAAGGTGATCAAACCGGTCAGTCCTAGAGGAGATCAATCCTGACTGCTTTTTAGAAGGCCAGATCCTGAAGATGAAACTCAAATACTTTGGCCACCTAATGAGAAGGAAGGAATCACTGGAGAAGAGCCTAATGCTAGGAAAGATTGAGGGCAAAAGAAGAAGGGGACAACAGAGAACGAAGTGACTGGATGGAGTTACTGAAGTAGTAGGCGTGAGCTTAAATGGACTCCAGAGGATGGTAGAGGACAGGAAGGCCTGGAGGAACGTTGTCCATGGGGTTGCGATAGATTGGACACAATTTAGCAACTAACAACAACAACATATAGTATGTGAATCTCTTGGGGCTAAAGTTTTGGAATCTAAAACTGTAGGTCTTAAATTGTGTGCAACAGTGAACTCAGTGTGATGCCATGGAACATTTGGCTACTTAATAAATGAAACTGTAAGCAAGATCATTATGGTGCCCCGAAGCACAGCAGAGCACAATTTGAAAATTTGGTTCGGTGCACCTTGCACCAATAAAGTTTGGGAACCTCTAATCTAAATTATTTTTAAAAATATTGTATTATTGGAAGAAAAAATCTATCTGATTCAGTTCCAAGCTGGGAAAAGAGGTGGAAACAACATGGAGGCTGATTAGAAAGAAAGTTTAATGATGAAGCAGAACCACCAGGGTTTGCGGTTCTGGTGCAGCTGACAAAATGGAGATTAGAGTGTGTGGGTTATTATACCTTCTGGATTCCTATGGGGGTCGTGTAGGGATTATGTAGGGGTCATAGCTGGCTCTATAGGCAAAAGAAAAAATGCAAATCCTAGGTGTTTGTCTGAGTTAATTTTGTCAACCTTTTGTTTGTTGCTTATCTGAGTTTCTGTCTTGACCCAGTCTTTTTAATGGATTACTGCATTTCTAAAAGCTGGCCTCCTCAGTTTCTGCTTGGGGCAGGGAAACGGGGGCTGGTTTCTACCTCCCTTAAGATTTTTTTTTATTTCTCCTTTTAGGGGAAATATTTTATCCTGCCTTTTTAATATTTTCCAAAATATTTCATTCTTCTGGAGGGGAGGCTTCCCACAATATACTAAGCTATACTTCCTCTAGGTATATCATTTTGTGGTCAGTCATATGCAAATATTTTGTTTTAGTGGGATAATATAAAAATTATTGAAGAAATGAGATATTCAAAATTTTGTAATATTAAGTTAGAACTCTTGGAATTACTGAGAACACAAGGTGATTTTTTAAATGTCCTATTGAATAACAATATTGGGTTAAGTGGAGCATATTCCATTGAACATAACATGAATTATATCAATTTATGAATGAACTCATACAGTATTGATTATTTGAAAAAAATACATTCATCTTTTCGCTTATATTAGATTTAAATATCTTTTTGTATAGTAGATAATATATTACCTGTTTTATTTCAGTTTTATGTGCTGAACGAGTGGGCCAGATGACTAAGACATACAATGACATTGATGCTGTTACACGTCTTCTTGAGGAAGTAAGTACCCCATGTTCATATGTATGGTAACATGGTTGTAACACAGTAATCAATGTTTGAATCTTTTCAGGCTTCATGAGATATACAGGATATTGTAATTAATCACCATATGTCTGAGGCCTCCTTATAGAGGGATTACTGGAAAACTGTCCATTGCTTAATTCCCAGCATGCATTAGCATTCTTTTATTTACTCAATTCTATTTCAGTTCAATATAATTTGTTACTCTGATGTCCATAAGGCTTAATATTAATAGAACTGTCAGGTGTGCTTCCTTCAAAGTCCAAGAAAGAATGACCCAGACTCCATTGTTTATAGAAGCAGGTACTTCTACTGGAAAATGAAGTGATCGCAACCAAAGAAAAGTAGGATCTGAGACAAGAGTGCGAAAATTACAGATAGAAAGCATCCCCTCCCACTGTCCAACGTAAATCATCCAATCCAAAGGTCTCCCAGGGGTCAGGTGGAAGCACACGTTTGGCGGTGTCATTAATCAGGAATGCCGTGGGCGTTGACCCGATAGCAGCTTCAAAGATGCAACATTATATTTTAGGATTTACTTTCGTTTCTTTGTCCAGCATGCTTATAACTCCCCCCCCTGTTACCATGGCAGCCAAAGCAGGAAAAAGCAGAGGCTGACATTCAGCCCCACTTCAGAAGAAAGGAAACCTTGCCACACTCTGAAGTAGACTAGGTGGCTTCTCCAGAAGTCTCTTAGCTGAGGCACACACCGGGCAGCTAGCTACATATGCCTCTATGTCTTTTTGAGTGCGAGCCACCAGAATTGTCTTTTAATGAGAGGGAGAGTTTTAACAAATCCAAAGTGTCCCGCCACCTTAGCATCATGAGCGTGCTGCAACACTGTTACTCTCAAACTGGCAGGAACATACAATTTGTCTCCAACCCAAGCTAGTCCATCACGAAATGTACATTCATTCGAGTGGGTTTGAAACCACTTGTCAGATTTCAGAGCTTCTTGTAGTTTTTGACGCAAATCGCCCGAGAGGGCTGGATCGCCCCTCGCTTGTGCTCTGGTAGTTACTGGTGGCGCCAGTTGGGTCGAAGGGATGATCGGGCGAACCACTTCCTCCTTGGTACTGTTGTATTGAGGCAATCTGGAAAGTGCATCAGCCATGAAGTTCTTTCCACCAGGAAGGTAGTGTAGAGTGAAATTAAAATGGTTGAAGTGCTGAGCCCAGCGAACTTGCTTTGGTGACAGCTTACGCAGTGTTTTCAATGCCTCCAGGTTTTTATGGTTAGTCCAAACTTCAAAGGGATGCTTAGCTCCTTCAAGAAATTGTCTCCACGTTAACAATGCCCAGCATACTGCAAAAGCTTCCTTCTCCCATATGGCCCATCTCCTTTCGGTCTCCGACAATTTACGGGAGGTATAGGCACAGGGTTGTAATTTCTTCTGCATTCTTTTGCAAAAGTACTGCTCCTACTGCCACGTCGCTCGCGTCAGCCTGTACTACAAAAGGCTCTTCCATGTCTGGATGTTTAAGGACTGGTTCAGCAGCAAACAAATGCCGCCTGACAATCCATAGTCCACTCAAGGGCCCGGGAGGGCTTTGGTTTTACTTCACCCTTTGTTTTCAGGAGATTTGTTATTGGTAGCGCGATATGTCCATCTAATTTTTTTTCTATTTGAAGTTTGCCAGCACCATCTTCTGAGATTTTTTTTCAATTCCTAGTTAGCCTACAGGTCCTAGTATTCCCTATAAATCTCCCACTAAGTATTAAAAAGGTAAACGTTTCTCCTTTCTAGTCGTTTCTGACTCCAGGGGGTGGTGCTCATCTTCATTTCTTAGCTGAGGGAGATAATGTTGTCTGAAGACATTTCAGTGGTGACTTCCGGTTTGCTGCTTGTCCCCGCTGGACGCTCCTTCGGGATCGTCGAACCCACTGCCTGTAAGAGCCGCCTTTTTCAGCGGAATGGCGGCTTGAAAAAACCCTGTTTCCATTAGGAAACGGAGATAGAGCCGGCTGGGGTGGGTAGAGTCCTCTACCTAATCCCAAAAGTTTTTTATTTACTTTTGGGAGGGAGCGGAAGAGACTCCCCGTATCCCCAGCCGATGCTCCGGGCTCTGGGAAATCTCTGCTACACGCAGAGCTAGGGGGCAGAAGCAAGCCTGTAAATCTGTCAAATAAATTAATTAAAGAAGATATGAGCTGGACCTCTGATCCTGAAGCGCAAGTATTCTTTTTATTATATTTTGCCTAAGAAGTGAAGTGAAGGGAAAAAAGTTTTTTTAAAATGGCGATTGCTGCTGCGGCTTGAAGAGAGGTTGAAAGGGAAACTCCTTCCGTTTTCAATTACAAAGTAGCGGAATGAATACTTTTGGCTGTAACTGAAGGCAAAACCTCACTCTCACTTTTGTTTTTTTTTTTTTCCTTTTTTTTTCCTTGGGGATCTGATATTGATCTTGGTTGGAAAAAAGTTTTTTTTTTCTCTTTTCCAGTAAATTTTGTCTGCGTGGAAAAATGGCACTGAGACTTATAAAGCTAGACAAACAGGCAGTGGGGGGGGGATTCCCCCATTAATAAATTACATCAACAAGTTTTAACTCTCCAGTCTCAGAAACCTGACTTTAATATAATAGAATTTCTTCTTGAGGAGATTGTAAGAAGGGATGAGATTGTGAATCAGCAACTTGAAAAATTTAAGTTGGAAATCAAAGAAATTGGTGAATTGGTGAAATCTAAGTTTGGCTTTTTGGATCGAAAGATTTTAAAAACAGCTAATGGCTTAGCAGACTTTGTGATTCAGTTGGAAGCAAATACTAAATTAGTAGAGTCTAAAATGAAAGAAACTGAGGAGAATTTGGATGACAAGATCCAAAAAATTAAAAAGGATTTGGCAAATACTCAGGATAATAGTTCAGAAGACAAACTTAAGGAGGCTGACCAAAAGACTGGTAATGAAGAAAATGTTCAACAGAGGATTGAAAGAGAAGTTTTAATGATCCAACACAATTTTACAGAATATGCAATTAGACTGAGAGGTCTGCAGGAAAATGACAGAGATGATTTAAGGAAGATATCTTCTGAAATTCTGGCTGGGATTTTAAAGGTTCAACCTGATGAAGTGTTTTGCAGGATTGACAGAATTTATAGAATAAACTCCTGGTTGGCAAAACAAAGGCAATTGCCTAGAGATGTGGTGATTTATTTTATAGACAAAGAAATTAGAAATAATATTGTGCAGAATTCTTATGATTCTACTTTGCAATTTCGTGGGAGAAAGATTTGGATTTTTAAGGAACTCCCGCCCAAGATGTTAATGGAGAGGAAGAAATTTGGTTTTCTAGTGAATGAGTTAAAAAAAAGGAATATTCTATTTAGGTGGGACGTCCCAGTTGGTTTAATATTGAGACACCAAGGAGTAAGATACCAACTGAATACTGTCGAAAAAGCGGAAGAATTTTATCAAAATTTTTTAAAAATAAATTTAACATCTTTAGGCATAACACAGGACAAGCAAAAGGAGTTGGAAATAAAGGGAAAACATCAAATTACAGAGGCTGTGGTAGATAAATTGTCTTCGGACTCTTTGGATACCCCAGCTGGACTGTCTATAAATTTGAGAGCAGTGTCATCTGATTCTAATGTGATGAATTATCAAGTTACAGACAAGTGCGTAAATCAACCAGTTGATATACAAGTGATGGAAACGACATATGAGATAATAAAACAAAACCAACAAGATCAATTTACAAAGCAGAATGACAACCGATCAGCTGATACACAACTTGTAGGAAGGAAATCTGGATGGAAATGCAACCCGAAAAAGAAAAAGAAAAGAAACAGATCTCATAGAAATAGTAGTTTCTAAACCAAGCAACAGTGAAGCCAGGGATTTTAAAAAATAAATGAATATGTGAAAAGATATTGGAGGCGAATTATCGTTTAATACTATCTTGAGGAAAGTGGCAGATCTCTGCAATGCCGTGATTTTGGGATGTGGAAAGAGCCTTACATTGTTGGATTTGAACTATCTATTTTGGATTTCTTTTACCGATAAATATATTATAACTATTTTGAGTTACAAGGCAAGAGAGTCATGCTGGGGCATGCAGAAGATCTGGCTGTTACCCACTAAGATGATGGGAATTTATAATCCTGATGAAAACCACAATTACAACTATATGGAATATAATTATAATGTCACTCGGGTGGTTGTTTTTACTTTTATATATACATGAGGATATTCATTATTGATGGGGGCAGAAGATGACTGAAGATTTTGAATAAACTGTTGCACCAGGATGCTATGTTACCCTATTATGGATGATGGATTTAACAATCTAGTGGAAAGACATCAAAGAAGATACTAAATGAATTATAAATTTAAAGTTATTGTCTTTTCTCTTTTTATAAAATAGAATGTATATATAGACATATGTATATTTTAGCAGAGTGGGCAGTGGATTATATTTAGAATTATTTAGAATTGTAGTGTATGGTAATCTTGCAGGAAACTGGGTTGAAATAGGCTAGTTTAGTGATTGATTAGTTTAAGAAAAAGGATTTTTAAGTCATATATTTTGGGGAGTGGAAGAATTGGATAGAACTGAATAAATGTTAAATTTGGAGAAGGCTGCTTTGAAATGTTATATTAATATATATAAAAGATTAAAGGTTATGTTGTTGTAATAATAATAATAATATTTTATAAGTTTGGGGGAGGAGAAAAAGGGTAGATTATTGCGAAAAGCGGAGAAAAGCGGAGTTATAAGAATATTATGCTAAGGGTCAGTACTTTGAGGAGTGAGTAAGGGCATGGTAAAATATTATGTAATTAATTATGAATTAGCTTATTGTTGTGAAGAAGAAGTCACGGGGGGGATGGGTGGTGAGGGGGGGTTAGGGAAGAAGGGGGGAAAGGGGGGAAAACTTGTATTTGAAAACTTTTTCAATAAAAAAAAAAAAAGACATTTCAGTGGTCATGCAGCCAGCATAACTATACACTGAGATGCACAGAACGCTGTTACCTTCCC